GTGGTGGCTTCTGCCGGTGCTGTGAGGAATCATTCTCAGAGTCTTTGGGTTTTGATGCCAGAAAAATAGACTTTTATTATCAGAGAGATAATGCAGTCTAGAGATAATCTGCAGAAAATCTCTCGAGTCTGTGTCTGTACTCTCTTTTATACAGTGCTTTCCGAAGGCGTGCCCATGTTTCATACATATGGTTATTGTTTATCAACTCATTTACCTCTTTTGGCTGTCTCCAGCCTGCCACCCAGAAGCAGACAGGAGGCCCCAATTTATGTTCCATGACTAGAGAGGCCCCATCATATATTTTGTCTAATGTCCAAATAGGACGTGCAGCTGCACCATATACTGCAGTTTTGTAATGTCTGCACATTACATTCTCATGCAGGCCTCTACACACAGGCAAATACATGATTATAATAGTAGAATGACTTGATACATAAATGGCTAGATTCACATTGATTATACTTGATTAATTCATATTTTGACCAATAAAAATCTTCCTTGTACGCATCTAACCTCCGAACCACGCAGCAGATTCGTTCTGAATTAATCTCTTCCCAAATCATCCCTCCCTAATATTTTCATCTCGTTTTTATTCGTGGACGAAAATGTCAATAGATTTACGCCATAGTTTTTGTCATTCAAAAAGAGTTTTAGTTCGTTATAGTCTCGTTTAGTCGTTGACGAAAATTATGACGAAAATTATTCGTCAACGAAATTAACACTGATATTGGCCTTGGCAAAATATTGGTCGACCACTACTACAGAACATATCAGCTACATCAGAATGCAACACTGCTTAAATTACAGTGCCTGATAATACTGACATTATCAGAATTCTTCCTTTAAGTTTTTATTTTGCATTCAGTAGTAGATGTACAGTGGGCAGTTGACTTGCCCACCGGGAAAAGTCCTGGGCCCTCATTTATCAACAGTGCGTAGAAAAAGTTCTATATTTTGTCCTACGAATTAAATGTAGAACACAAAAAAATTGTGTACAAGAAAATCCGTATTTATCAAACGTGCGCACGCAGTTCTTACGCACATGAGTAAGCAATCATTGTTGATAAATCCCACACGTGCCTAAGTACCATGCTCGTTCACGTTCACGGTCATTTGCATTCGGAAACGCCTCCAATGAACCATATATGGTGACAACACCTCCCTTTATAAATCACATGAATGTATGTGTCCTCACCGAAATCATGGCTAAAGAAAGCGGTACCAACTGAGAAGCCATTCTGTGCTCTCACTCTCAGCGCGGTCTTTGAAAACGCGTTCTCTGCTGAGCGCATTGTTTGCCAAGTTTTCAAATAACGCAAGATAAGCCATTGCACAGTCTGAGACAAACATTTGTCACAGTTGTCTTTTATAGGGTTTGACACCAGTTACACAACTTGTTTAAAACTAGATAAATGATAAATTGAATGTTTTATAATTAAAGGAAACACAGGACATATGTGGACTAATGCATACTGTGAGACACTTAAATGCTTTTTATGTGTAGTGTCGCTATTCTACCACTAGATTCTCTGCGTAAGCATGCTCAGAGGTGTGCTTATATTTACACACATTTCTACGTATAAGTACAAGTTGGTAGATCCCACACTTTGCGTGAAACTGTTCTTACGCACTCATTACGTACACATATGTGCATACGCACTGTTGATAAATGAGAGCCCTGGTTCTCCCTATGGCCAACTCATCATTGATGTATGTGGAAAGACGCAGTCAAGATTTAATGAATTAAAAAAATAAAAAAATACTGCCCTCACCTTTACTAACTCTTTGTATTTTTCTTTCAGCTGCTGGTAGAGGATACTGTATTTCTCCACAGGTATGAGAGAAAGGGTGCTCTTAAACTCACTGGTCTTGCTCTCCAGAGCCCAGCGTGATAGTTTAGGCAAGAGTTTAGTACAGAGCCACGAGAGTTTAGGGTAAGCTACTCCATCACTGCACCACTGCTCAGGCGTCAGAGCGTGAAGAGACAACATCCTGCAAATGTGACTTTGCAAAATAAGTTGTTGACATTTCCACATTCATGAACAATCTGCATTTCACATAAAAATATACACACAATTCCATTCTAAATTATAATTAATCATCTAAATTATTCACACTGTCATACACTAGCAATGAAAGGCTTTAATATCAAGCATATCTCAATGTAGCAAAATAATTTTAAACATTTTTCAATAATATTTCCTGCATTTGGAGACAAAGTTTACCATTACCAATAATACATGAAACACTGGCTTGGTTTACTCTAAAGCGGTGGTTCTAAATTCCAGTCCTCATGCACCATGCACCGCTTTGCACATTTTGTATGCATCTCTTATCACTTCAGGCGTTTGTTCTATTCGACTGTAAGTGCTCTGCAAAGTGGACATCACATGATATTCCGCCATTCAAAGGGCATTAAAGTGTGCGAGAAGTTAATTTAAATTGTATTTATTTATAGAGGTATATGTCACGTCACACTTCTCTAGTAAGTTGTGAAGATGCACAGGCCAGCGTAGCACAAGTCCGTGTATGAATGTTCCAAAGTCAACACATTTCCTGTACTCAGGGAGTAGGGAGCAAAGAACACTGTGTAGGGACCATGTCAATAGGAACACAGTTCATGCATGGAGCTCTCTTCTAATGAGCCAGTTGTCTGAATCAGGTGTGTTAAATAAGAGAGAGACATGCGAAATATGCAGAGCGGTGGTATGAGGACTGGAATTGAGAACCACTGCTCTAAAGCATCTGGGATAATTTAACTCATAACTACAATTCCTGGGGGAAATGCTTAAAGACCCATTAAAATTGCTTGACAGGCAGTTTTTTCCTGTACTGACATTTTCGTACTGAAACAGGAAGTTAAGTGGGACATAACAAATAGAGGTCGACCGATTAATCTGCTGATTTTTGGCATTTTTTAATTAATCGGCATCGGCCGATTGTGCTGCAAATTAGGCCGATTTATAGGCAGGCGCACTGGCGGGCAGCTAAGCGTTGTTGCGGAACTCCTTCTGGCTGCGTGAGACGGAGCAGCTCATGCGCTGCAGTCACGGCTTGTTCACACACAGCCTCAGCTAATGGCAGGGCAAAACAGACCGTTTCGAAAGCGGAATTACGTTTTACCCTACTAGAATTGATGCCGGAAAGTTATCATATTCAGGGCTCACAAAATTTCAAAATCCCTGGTAGCCCTTCGGGGAGGTACTCTTCAGATTTTGGTAGCCTGAAAATTTAACTAGCCCAAATAAAAAAGCCCTTTTTAAAAAAAAAATTATAATACATATAT